CGTGCCCCATCGCCCGTGCCTGCCCTGACCGTGGACAGGCTGTGGTGCAGGTCGGCGGTCGAGAAGTCTTAGTGCAAAATCCAAACTTACGACGCGCATAATATATTGAAGTATTCATGGTCCGCGAGATCTTTTCGGATACTGCGGCAACGTGAACAGTGTCGGCCTTTATCGCGAGCCTGCCTGCGGGAAAAACCTGTATGGTTTTTGGTTACGTGCCGACCATGCAAAGATTCTTGCATCTGGCCACGACGAATCGTATCTCGCCCAAAGTACAAGTGTCCTTCACATTCCTCATCAGAAACCATTTTTTTAAGCAAGAAAGAGCGTGTTCTACCGCTGCTGGTGGACAACAAGGGGGGGGGCACTGCCGGTTCGACCCCCCCCCCTCTCCGGTAAACCAGGGGGGGTCACTACCGGTTCGAACCCCTTCCCCCCCAGGCCATCAAGGAAAGGCGGGGGGGTCGCTGCCGGTTCGACCCCCCCCCATCGAAAACCAGGGGGGTCACGACCGTTTCGAACCCGCCCCCTCGAAAACTTGGGAAGGCGCGGACAGTGGTGGGGGCGGTGGTGGCGGGGGCAGTGGTGATGGGACAGCGGGGCAGTGGTGGGGACAGTGGGACAGTGGTGGGGATGGTAGTGGTGGGGGCAGTAGTGAAGGCGGTGGTGAGGACAGTGGTGGGACAGTAGCACGGCGGGGAAAGAGAGTACAGTGGTGGTGGGGGCAGTGGTGAGTGCGGTGGCCAGGACGGCGGTGGGACAATTGGACAGAGGTACAGCGGGGACAGTGGCGGGGACAGTGGGGGCAGTGGTGGGAACAGTGGGACAGCTCAGTGGGACAGCGGAGGAGACAGTGGGAAAGTGGGGACAGTGAGATAGTCGGGCAGTGGTTGGGGCCGTGGAGAAAGTGGGGAGAGTGGAACCGTGGTGGGAACAGTGGTGGGGACAGTGGTGAGGGCGGTGGCCAGGACGGCGGTGGGACAATTGGACAGAGGTACAGCGGGGACAATGGTGGGGACAGTGGGGGCAGTGGTGGGAACCGTGGGACAGCTCAGTGGGACAGCGGAGGAGACAGTGGGAAAGTGGGGACAGTGAGACAGTCGGGCAGTGGTTGGGTCCGTGGAGAAAGTGGGGAGAGTGGAACCGTGGTGGGAACAGTGGTGGGGGCAGTGGGGACAGTGCGACAGTGGTGGGGGCACTGGTGGGGGCAGTAGGGACGGTGGTGGAACCAGTGGGGACAGTGGTGGTGAGGACATTGGTGCTGGGAACAGCAGTGGGGGATGTGGTGCGGACGGTGGTGGGGGCTTGGAGTCGTTTGCTGGCGGTAAGGGGGGGGGTCGAACCAGGAGTGGCGCCCCCCGGTTTTCCAGGAGGAGGCGTGGGTTCGAACCAGTGGTTACCCCCGCGTTTTCGAGGGGGATGGGGGGGGTCGAACCGGTAGTGGCCCCCCCCTGGTTTCCTGAGGGGTGGGGTGGGGGTGGGTTGGGGGGGTTAGGTGGGGGGAGGTTTTGCCGGGGGAGGGGTGGTGGTGGTGGTGGTGGTGGTGGGGCTAGCAGGGGGGGTGGATTTTCGGAGGGGGTGGGGGTCCGGAGGAAGAGGGGGGGGGGAATTGTCCACAATAAAGCGGCGGTGGATCGCGCTCTCTCTATTAGGGAAGAACACGTTGTGACGGTGCGTTTAGCTGAGGGCATCCACAGGTTGCCAGCGGCGCCCTATGATGCTGTGCCTCGGTGTACTACGACGCCGACGCTGCACCAGGGTTTCACTGCTACGAATCCGAAAGTGCCGTTTTCAACATTCATGGCGTCGCTAGACGCGCGTGAATCATTCAGCGCTTGAAGTCCTCGAAGCCTGAAGCAGGCTCTGTCGAGGACCTCTCGAAGTTCGAGGACCCAGTGGACTGGGCGCGCGCGCCCAGACGACCTCCGGCGCCGGCCGCGCTTGACGGCAGGCTACCATTCACTTGTGAGGAATCAGAAATGTATCTGGAAGCGCAGATCATGGAAACGTGGTGTGTCGAGTTCTAAGGAAAGGGAATTGTTCGAGACACCCTCGTGGGGGTCCCTGTGGTCTGTGCCCGCAGATGGTTGCAGACAGCCGCGTCGTCGTGGCTGCGGCCAGTGAGGAGCAAGGGCTCTTGTCAGAAATAGGTTATGCTCCGAACCATGCCTCCGACGATGCCTCCCTGGTACCTCGGACCACAGAATGCGACGATAATTTCGATTTCTACTCGGGCGAACACGGTCAACATGTCGAGCTATGCTTCGCTACTGGCATGGCTAAGTTTAGTTTGCCAGGGCAAAAGTGCGAGTCGCTACATACGACTGGTAGCCATGTTTCGCGTGTATGTCTCAGCTGCAGCTAAAAGAGCTGCGGTCGCAAAGGAAGACGAAACCCCGACGAACGCAGGAACGCAAGACAAACCGACGAAGATATCCAAAGGTTTGTGCTCGGAGCGCAACATATGGTATGACAGCAAATGCTTCAAAATGCAGGGCATCAAGAATGCAACCGATATCATGACCTCCTAGATACGTGTACAAATTGAAGTTTTTCAAGGACGACAAAGGCGAACTTGGAAGAACTATGCGGCTACGCCGTGTTCTTCGCGGCTCTACGGACATCGAAACATTCGACGTAGAAGCCTTCTCAGGCACAGCTCGTCGCGCATGCCAGACGTGACTCGCCAGCGCGGCCGCGCGCGAGAAGCAGTGGGCCATGGGGTCCAGGGATGTCGATAGGACTGTCTGGAAAGGTCTGACCTTTTGTGAGTTGGCAGAAGCCGCTGGAGGGACAGAGCGCATGGTCAGCTTTGCTCTTCCACCTGGTCTTGCCTCGGTGCTACGTGCGCTGCCCGGCTTCTCGTCCCGCGACGAGTCAAAGCGCGGTCTGCAGTGTCTTGGGTCAGGCGCAGGCAACAAAGACGCCCCTGGTGCATTCTCATTGAAGCTCAGAACCATCGCGCGAGAATTCGGGCTAAAACCTACGTCAGGCCATGAAGAATTTGAGACAAGCCCAAGCCTCGTGACTGCTGCGCACGTCGACGACATAAGCGTGGCAGGAGTGGAGGGCGCCATTGACAAGCGCATCAAATTTGTAGAAGGTACGTTCGACCTATGCAAACTGAACAAACGCCGCTGCGCCAATTGCGCCGTGCGCTACGCTGAGACCGAAGGCGGCCGCGTCCAGCTAGATCCGGATGAATGCATTCAACAGCTTCGTCCGATGCAGCGCCCAGAACTTACGGGCGCCGTAGCGAAAGAAACGACCTTGGAGACAATGTCCGACATGCTCATCAGTTTTACGTGGCGCCCTGGCGTGCGCGCTAATCACTCAGGCGTGGTCGGTGGCATGCGCGGCGCCTTTGCGACGAGCGCCGGGGCCCTCGGGCCTCCGAGTGCGAAGACTTCGCGCAGTCGCGCGCAAATTTCAGCCAGGTCCGAAGAGATAATATACTAGCTCATGACTCCGACAGGAGGAGTGGACTTTCACAGTGATTCTGGATATTGGCGCCGTAATGGGGGAGAAGATGACGAGGCAAAGGGGTGTGGCATCCGTGGGGCCGACCTTTTGCTGCGCGGACACGCGCCTAGTGGCAAATCTGTAGTGCGCCTGGTCGACGCGTACTACAGGTCGCATCGCTTGCAGGCGCGTTCCAGCTACTCCGCTGGAACGTTGGCAGCTGCTCATAAATTTGAGGACTGCTACCATGCCATAGTTACGCTGCATGAGATTGCGCTGAACCCTTGACGCTCACTCAACTTAATTCTGGAGTTAGGTGGTGAGTTGGGGTTGAGTCGGTCGGTCGGTCTTTACTTTCTTGTCCAGTAAGGGCTTGCAGAAGCCGACCGAATGTGCCCTGCCGGGGCGCATCACCTCCATGACGCATGATGGGCCGAGGTCTTGTTCATGGCGCGCAGTGGTGTGATGCGCGAGACATGGCCGCTGATGGTCATGCCGCTGGGTACATCGATCGGGCGCTACTGCTGCAGGGGGCCCCTGCTCAGGGCCAGCGGATTGGAATGAGGGCGACTACCCGGACGCAGACGTGTTGTCTTTGCTTGGGCACGGGCACGCATGCCTACGAGTAGTTTTCCTCGCCTGGCCACGGGCGTATATATCCGTAGCTCCGCAGTTGCCGCGGGTGCCGAGACACGGGCGCTACGCCCTCCTAAATATTTTGTTGAGGGCATTTGACTGCTTGGTCATGTCCCCTCACGCGCTGCGCGCATTGCAATCTGGTCCACTGGCTGGGCGCCCCCCTCATTGGCTGTGGGCGGTCACGCGCTCTAGCCCGTGGCTGCCCATGACCGTCTGCAGTTGGTCGTGGGGCAGCGCGCCGCGACCGGCCCTAGTACTCTGCGCTGCTTTTTCTGTGCCTTGTTTTTGCGCGCTGTGGGGGCGTTGAGTAACCATATCCCCATCCTTGTTTACTTTGGAATAAGTTCGGCCCCGGATTAAGCGTTCGGCCCCCCCCCCCCCCCGACTTTGAACGAGGATTAAAGAGAGGCTGTATCTCGAACCCTATATCCGACGCTGTCTGGGTTCAAGGCAGCGCTGTCCGTATTGCTAGGTGCACGACCCTGTGCGCCTCTATTTGGATTATAGCATCAGAGAAAATGCCACGTCTATCTATGATCCACCCCTCCGTCCCATGGTTTCTCTCCCACCTCTCGTCTTGCTTGTCATCGAGGGATGTGTTGTGGGATGCTTCGGTCCGTCGCCGACGTTATCTTACGAGTCGGGTTGTCAGCTTACCACCTCATGGTCAAGTCCAGTGCCCTTACTTTTCATTGAGTTCCCTTCCTCCCAGGCGCCTTTGGTGCCCCTTGTCTTCGCCCGCTGAGCTGCCACTCTCCGCGGGCCGCTGTCTGTCCGTATTTCTGCTTCTTCTCGGTTCTGCAACCTGCGCAAGGGAACTGTGCCAGACATGTATGACTCGAGTTCGATTTGCGTGCATGTGTTGCTTTCGTTGTGCGCGGGGGGGGGCTGCCAACGAGGCCCCGTGCGCATGAATGCCGATGCTGGCAGGAGGGAGTCCTTGAAGATAGACCTCGGAAGGCGCTTCGCCGGTTCGTTCTTTTTCTTTGTTGCTCGGCCGCTCTTTTGAGATTTCGACAATTTCCAGCATCGTCAAGTACGGCAGCCTTCACCTGGCAAAACAAGTTCGATGCTACACTGCTTCGCTCTTGGTGTGCATGTGCATGCAAGCATTGAGAAACTGGCAAAAGCGGGATGCATCGGAGTGACAGGGGCGTGCGATGTGAATGTGGGATTTTGTGCCAGGGGTGCGGTGGTGTACGTGTCTCTTTCATTGTGCTTCTTTTTTTCCACAGTCGTCCGCAGTCTGTCGCATTAGCTCATTACCGAAGTGCCCGGGATTGAGTCCCCTCGAGATCCCCTCGGGGGAGGCAGCGGGCAAACTTGGCCGCCGAGCAGGATAATCCTTCTCAATTTTGGTGTGTCTTTCAGAAGGCCGGACGTGCACAGGGTTTCCGTGGGCGGCGGTTTTGCTGAAGCGTCTTCCTGCTGCGTACAAGTATTTTGACATCATGTCGTGACGTCCAAGTCTCCTCATCATTTTTCAGTCCAGATTGCCCTCTCTTTTCGTGTGCGTCATCATTTGCAGTCCATTATGGTTTTCTTTCGGTTCGCTTTCGGCAGTGGTGGGCCATCAGTGTGCTTCTGAAACACTTGTACGTACACCAAAGTATTCAGGCTCATAATGACGGTGTCTATGATTTTCTGTATTGCTTCCTCTGTCCTTTGGTTCTTCCCTTGGTTGGTCTGTGTTGCCTGGTTCCCCTGATCGGCAGTGGTCGGTGGGGCTGGCTGGAGAAGTGCGATTCGGGTAGGCACCTGTCCAGTGGGCTGTGTTATTGCGGGCTTCTGCAGGGCTCCTTGCAGCAGGGAACCGCCCAGGCAGGAGCGGCGGCCCTCGCTTCTCTCGCCCTTTCCCCCCCTCCCCCCCTCCACCCGCGCCCTCTGCAAGCCCGATTGCTCCTCTGCTGTTGGCCACGGCGCCTCTGTTCGACACATCCAAACACGACGCGCGCGCGGCATTTCGGCGCTGGCAGATGTGTTCGGGACCTCGCGACGGACGTGGTGGACGACCCCAGGGCGACGGGCAAGCGGCTTGTCCGGACCAGATGGCGCCGCCCTCAGAGCCCGGCAGGGCTGCAAGACGACCAGATCGCATCTTGCGATCTCGGGGCCAGGCCGGCTGGCCAAGGAAGGAGATTCCTCGAAGCTCTCCCGTTCGGTGTGTTTGCGGGGTTCTCATTCGAGAGTTGCGATCGAGATCGGGGGCCGTTTGTCGCCAGCGAAACTGGGCTCTTATCAGCTGCGAATTCGCTCCCCAACGCTCTTTCGCCAGGTCCAGTGGTGTTCCAACATGTGTGCTCATCGGGCCCGCACTGCTGGTTCCACGAACAGAATCGCATGCTGGCCCCCTGGCGAGCAAGAGGCACGCCCGAAGCTAGAAGGTCGGCTACTCTTCGAATGGCTGTAAAAGGAGGAATAGAGAAGGCGCGCGAGGGAGGAAGCAGTGGGCATGGGTACATTCTTTGCACGTGCGCCCCAGCAGAAACCAGACGTACAGATTCTACCATCCACATCTTCGGTCAGATTTTGGGGACAGCTCGTGTTGTCGAGATCCTCCCGCTCCAAGCGTCTGATCGTTTGATCGGCGATGTGGAAAGAACGTGTTTGGTTGTCAGCGTTTGCCAGCAGGATCCCGAGTGCGGATTTCTCATGTGAGAGTTCACATCTAAAATGCGGGTCATCTTACAGTCCGTCCACGACTGTTGTGCAAGGTACAGGCCCAATGTTCGGTCGAGGGGTCTCAGGATCATATTCGCTCGGCTTGCTCAGAAGAGTGCCTGGTGTCACCTGCAGGCTGTCTCGCCGCCTCATGCGCCAGGGCCTGTCGTGTCGGCCGCGAGCGCGTGCATCTGGGCCCACAGCGCGCGCCTCAGGCCAACGTTGACGCAGCATCCAACTGCCTGCGGCAGGCCTGGCCACCGTGCCAGCCTGGCTTTTTGGGTGGCGTCACGCGGGACACTTCGTTTCTCCAGGCTTTGGAGAGCTACGGTTTTGCTGATCAAGAGGATTATGAGGATGATGAGAGGCCATGGTGAGGCGTCTTGGGCCGTCGAAGAGTCTTCTAAGGTCGCATTGGGTGCCTCCGGAAGTCTTCTTGGGCCGTCTTCATCTCGGGACCCTCTTGGGTGCCTCTTGGGCCGTTTTGGAGCCATCGCAGAGGCTTCGTAGTCCGTCTGGGCTGACGGCAGCCATACAAAAGCCTAACAGAGAACAATGGTTTGGGCTTCTTCGGACCCTGGAGGAGGTACTCTTGTGGCCCTCTTGGAGGCATCGTGGGCCGTCTCGAAGCCATATTGGGCCGCCTGGGGGCTAGCTTGGGCCGTCGTCGAGGCACCTTGGGCCATCTTGGTTGCCTGGCTGCCTGCCTGGACCGCCTGGAAGTGTTCTCGGAGACTGATCCGAGTCCGAAAACCGACGCTTCCTGTCCAGCTCCGGGGTCCTGGACCCCGGGGGCGCGGGACGCCCCGTGGCCCCGTCCTGGCGGCTCGGGAGGCGGACGCACAGTGCTCCTCGAGGGAGCGTGGCCTCGGGAACGCGGATTCGGAGCTTTGTCTCTGCGAGGGGTCGTGGCCCCTGGACTGGGGCGATGCACGCAGCCCGGCTGCGGCTAGGGCCAGGGGAGGGGAGGGAGGCCCTCATCAGAATACGAAGCACTGCCAGGCAGCACTTGGCATTCTACCACGCCCACGGTAGCGGATCGGCCCCCCCGAGCCGAGTTCAGCACAGGGAGGTACAGATTCGTATCGTTCCTCTTAGCCCAGCCCGTCGTAGCTTATTGCAGCCTCGCAACAGATCTAGCTCATCCTTCGGTTCATGAATTCAGATCGCCCGATTCTAGACGCTTCGCGTAACCCCACCAGCCCGTCGGCCCGGACACCCTGTTCGCCGCCTGCGCTCTTCGCTCGCGGCCGCGACCAAAAATGTAACCCCACCAGCTCATCCAGGAACTATGCCCAGGGGAGCCATCCTACTTAGAGATGTGGAGGAGCATGCAGTGGAATCAAGGACTGGGAAGCCGTCATACCCCAAAGGTGGGAGGATGGAGGAGGAGTCGGAGGAGGAGAAGGAGGATGAGGATGAGGATGAGGATGAGGATGAGGATGAGGATGAGGAGGAGGAGGAGTAGGAGGAGGAGGAGGAGGAGGAGGAGGAGGAGGAGGGGAGGGGGAGGGGGAGGGGGAGGGGGGAGGGAGGCGGAGGAATAGGCCGGTGCTTAACACTCCTTTGCGATGGAAAGAACACGGGACGCCTGCACGCTCATATGCAATACGTGTATTACCTAAGAACTCCTGTGGGGTGCCGACTTTCCTGGCATTCGTGATGGTGCCATGAGCTTCCGAGCAGACGCCTCAAGAAACAGCAACTCGGGTTGTCCACAACAGCTGAGCGAAGGAGAGGAAGTGCATTGCCTGCGAAATGGATGTGTTACAGCGTGATGGAATCCGCATGTGCCAATTGAGGTCGTACCACCAGCAACGCATGTGACTGCCACGAAAGCGAGATATGCAGACAACGTCTGATGCAATTGGCGGGTGTAGTTGCACCAAGCGAGAACGTTGAGTGTCAAACACCATATCCTTCCACCTACCAGCATACGAAGAACCAATACTATAAGGATTCAAATGCGACAACACAAACGCATGATGATAATTGCGAGAACACGAGAACAGTTGCACCGTATTGGAGCTTGTAGGACATCTGCCCGGCGCCTGCCTTGCTTGCCCTTTTGGCCTAGGCCAGGCTCAGCCCACAGCTCCAGGTTTTGCGCCCCTTCACGTCCGCCTGCTCAGCCAAGACTAACTCCAGGCCCCACCATCCTGTGCAGCATACACGTCCTCGACGTTTGCCGCCGCACGGAGACGCCGCGCCTCGTCGAAGCTGGCAGCTGACTTGCCGCTTCGCCCGTCTTGGGCTCGCACGCCGCTCCGGAGACGCCATCTCTTCGCAGCCAGCGCATCAGCCCGCCAGCGGCGCGGATTGAGGAAATGCGCTTCCCGTGGTCCTCGGCTCCCGCCAGCAGTGCAACTTCCGAGTTTGCTGGCGGATGCATCCAGGCGGGTCGCGGCGGGGCGGCCGGCCTGGATGGCAAACGGCTGAGGAGGAGGAGGACGAGGAGGAGAAGGAGGGGGAGGGGGAGGGGGAGGAGGAGTGGGAGGAAGAGGAAGACCAGTGTCAACCCAAGATCCATTAACGATGTTGGAATACATCCTCCCTCCAGGCTCCCTCTTTGCAGGCTCCTACTAGGGTTCATTTCCACAGGGAAGTGCTCCGTTGGGAGACAACCGTGTGAACATGCTGGAGCGTGCCAAAACACCACTCTCATGACTTCAACGCCACGAGTCAACCTGACTGTTGTGTCTTGACGATGCCGACTTGTGCCAGAACGCCATAATGTAATTTACATTTGCCCCCTTGCAATCCTGAGTCGTTTCAAAACGCCAGTTCTGGAAGGTTAACCATGAGACTCTGTGAAACTTTTGGTATGTTTCAGGGTTGTGCGCAGCGCTAAGGCGAGAACCACGTTTTGAAAAGGACCTCAATCAGTGAAAGTCCTGCAAAGTTTCAAACGAATGTTCGCGGCGCTGAGGCGAGAGCCACTTTAAAAAAACGAGCCGCCCTCAATTCGCGAAGTTCTTGCAAATTCAAACAAAACATCGAATGTGCACGGCGCATGAGCGAGAGCCACATTGTGAAAACCACCCGCCCTCCGTCTGTGAAACTGTTGTCAGTGTTGAAGTTCCATGCTCATACATGTAAAGAAAGTCTCAGGCGAAACGCCCAGTCCGCCCTTCCGACTGGCTTCGGGGTGCGACAGGGAGGAGCATGAATTGAGGAGGGGGTGGTGGAGGAGGAGGAGGAGGAAAAGGAGGGCGAGCAGAAAGGCCAGAGGCCTCTTGGATGCCTCTCGGAGTCTTTGTGGATGTCTCTTGAGAGCTTCTTGGAATCCTCTTGGGGCGTCTTGGGGGCCTCTTGGCGGTCCAGGGCCCTCTTGGAGCATCTTGGATGCCTCGGTGGAGCCTCTTGGGGCCCAGTGGGGTCTCGTGGGAGCCTTTTGGGGACCTCTTGGGGACTTTGGGGCCTCCTGGGCGCCTCTTGGGGCCCTCTCGGGGCACTCTTGAGAGCCTTGGGGGCCATCTTCTTGCCATCCATCTAGAGAAGTTCGCTCAAAGGATGGGGGGGGGGCCTTAATTAGCATCGCTCCTCTGGAGCCCCCACGTCGCCTCTTGGGGCCCTTCTTGGGGGCTCTTGGGCTCTCTCGGGGCCTTCTTGGGCCCCTCGTGTGTCTCTCTTGAGCCCTCTTGAAGCCATCTTGCGGCCTCCAAAGGCCATCTGAAGCGAAAGGGCGAGACGGCTCAACCATAGATTTCCATCGTTGTTTGAAGGGTTTGGGCTTCTTCAGGCCCTAGTTTGAGAGCTCCGAGGCCACTTGGAGCCGTCTTAGGGCAGTCTTTGGAGCCTCTTGGAGCATGTTGGAAACGATCGTAAGCCATCTTGAGGTATCTCGCGCCATCTTGAAGGCCATCTTGGGCATTCAGAAGCCCTCTTGGAGCCAAGTTGGGCCATCTTGGACGCTCTGACCGCTCGCGGGGCGCCTCGTCCAGACCTGGAGGTAGGGGGTAGGGGGAGGGTTCAAGCTGCCCCCAGCCGCAAGCCGTGTCGCTCACTCCCACCCGCCCTCCCACTAGATAAGTAGCATTCGAGTCTCAGGACAGACAGTGGCCGCCATTGGCAACCATCGGGAACCGACGCAGACGCCAGCCAGGTGCGCGATGCCCGCGAGATGTGCCGCACGTACCAGGTGCGCCACTCGCACCAGGCATGCCTCACTGGGCATTGCGTGGACCGCCCCACACTCCCTGTCAAAACCCAATGCAGAGTGACGCTGGGCTTATGTGCATGTGCATTGTGTATTGTATGCGCGTGTGCACCCGCAGTCCCGAAGTCACTTTGTATTTGCTATTGACAGGCAGAGAAGGCCTGCATGCAGCAAGCAGTATGCCGCCCCCACGCCGTCTCTGGCAAAGTGAACTTTGTACTTGCTTATGAC